GCCTGCCATTTGTAACATTCACTAAAATCTCTCTTCCAAAACAAAGATAAGATCTCTGGGATAATACAAAACTATACACGATGATCTAAATTCCACAGCTCAGTACAGCATGAGACAAGGGAGAGGAAAATATTTACTTGCTGGTTCTGTCTGTCTTTGTAATGATCTCCATTTCCTAAAATTCTATCTTCCAAATGTTATTCCGTAAAACTTTGCTCTTAGCTCTTAGAAGCATATCCTCTGGGTCTAGAAGGTTTTAGAAATGTCACTAAGAAAGCAAGACCCCCAACCAAATTCTCAAACTACTGGGGTACTATACTTTTTTTTTTTTTTAGGTTTTTGCAACAGGATATGTGTGCTCTCTGGAGAGAAACGGAGAGATAGAAAGATGGAAAGTGAGAAATAACCCTGTAGGGGGTGGCCATGCCAAAATCTCGTCTCCTTCACTCTCCTCTTGGGATTTTTGGCACACATGCACACACAACTGGCATGATTTTTATACCACCAGGTCTGGGACTTGAGCTGCAGTCAGCCATGTGGGCCAGCCATGTGGGTCTAACCACCATGCCACCTGCTGGCCCAGAGGTACCATACTTTTACTAAAAATGTCAAAGGGAAAAGATCCTACACTTCATGTCACTTATAGGCTGAAAAGTTTATTCCTACATCTAACTTCATTCCTTCATGCTTGCAACATCCATTATACTCCTCTCTCCTAGTTCTTTTATGTTTTCTGGACTACACATTTAGGTAAAGATATAATTGATATATGTTACTCATGAAGTAAACACAGTTGTTATGACAAGTAATATCACAGAGTCATCATGATCAAGCATTTAGTTTTTTCACTGCAGGGCACTGAGAATTACTTCAGAGATGGCAACTCCCATTTTCTTGTGAATTTGATCAAATAGCCCTAGATGGTGACAGCAACTTTTCTACCCATAGCATTCCCAAAGTTCCAAATACTTATGAGTCCTTCAGATGAAGGGTTTGTGAGTCCTTCATAAAGGTGGTGTAACTATTACGAAAAGAAGTACAGATCAAGATAAACAGCTTATCTGGGTACAACTGGGTCTGAGCTCTTCAAAAGAGTTGTTCAAGGTTGATGAAGATCAGGGAGTATCTATTGGTAAGGAGGTTTCTGATTTAAATGCAAATCATATTACATTCAGACACCTTGCAGTGTAGGCTCAAACAAAAAGTACAAGCACAGTAAGAGAGGAAAATCTCTTATTTGGGTAGGAGGTAGGGACATTAAGATACAGGGTCTTACCGAACAGCTGCACTGGGTGCACTGATTGGGTTGCCGGTTCTGAAAGAGCCCTTCTGCCATGAATAGCTCTCCATGCTGGTAAGTGGTACCGTTGTACTCACACGACTTGCTGGTTACCTTATTGTTCACTGGGGGTAAAGAGTCTTCTGGAACAGGGTGGAGAAAAACCACACCAAGTATTGACATCATTGCAAAAAAATTTCATAAATCTCAATTGCAGATTGGGCTGTACTACATAGTGAAAATCTCTGCTCCGGTGGTTAAAAATTTTAGATGATAATGCAGTAGCTAGACAAGAAGAGCAGCTGACATCACCAGCAATACATTTTTTCATTTTCTGAGCATTTATTGAGCACCAACTGTGTGTTAGATACTGTAATAAGCATTAGAAAGACATCAGAGAACAAGGACATGGTCCCTGCCTTGATGGAACTAACAGTTCTAGATATTAAACTCCCTGAAAGGAGAGAATCCGTGCTAGTTTTAATTAATCATTTCTCATTTTCCTTCAGAAGAGGAACTACCTATTATGAGTATCTTAGTAACTTTACTCCTCCTGTGTTTTATATCCCTTATCACATGCTCATATGCTTGTTCCAGCTTCTGTAGTTTTTGTTTCTTTTTGATCTCCCAATAAGATAGCACCTCCCCCTACTCTTTGAAGTGTTATGTTAATGCAGCTTATGTCTCTTTGCCTCCAAGAAGCATTTCCTAATGACTCCAGCTCACAATCTAGACCTCTCAAGGCATCTGATGTCTGAAGTACACAATTTGGAACTTGAATATTATTGGAACTCATATTTGTGAATTACAGTTATATAGCAAACTATTTACAAAGAGCTTTCACATATATTATTATTGTTATGGAACCTTACAACAACCCTGTCAATCAAGTAGAGTAGATTCCTTTTCTATTAGAAGGAAAGTGGCTCTGTCTTTTTAATTTTTATTTTATTTCTTTAATGAGACAGAGCTTGAGCAAGAGAGTTTGCACACGTGTGTGTGTGAGAGAAAGAGAAAGAGAGAGAGACTCCCAAAAGGATCTTGTCATACAACAATCCCCTTCCCTCAACCCTCCATTTAAGTCAAGAAGATCTTGGCTGCATGCCCGATGTATTTTCAGGTTAACTTAGGATCTGAACCTGTGGTCAGCCATGTGGCTTCCAGCACTGCAGATGAGCATGCTAACTACTGTCTGCATCACCAAGGCTGAGCCAAATAGGGTAGATGCTTATCTTCATTTGAAAGAAACAAGACACCAAGGTTGAGTGACTTACCTGAAGTCACAAAGCTAGTTAGTGGTAAAAAATAGGGGGAAAAAAAAATAGGGGGGACATATAATCTGATCTCCTGATCTCAAATTTCATCTCCTTCCTGTCAATCTATGTATGCAGGTGTATATACTACTTTTTGAGGACTGTGACTGTTACATGTCTCTTTACTTCATGGAGTCTAGCATACACTTGGCATGTAGCACAAAGTCAACGCACTCAAGAAATTCATTCTCACTGCATGGTCCATATATGTCTGTTCACTGGGCTTCCTTAAAGTACATGATGCATTTACACACACACATACACACACACACACACACACACATACACCTCAAACAACAAGAAATTCCAAGATTAATCATTGTCATTTGAATTAATAATAGACACAAGCAGAGCTTGGGAAGTGCATGCCATAAGATAGTAGAAGAAGAGAAATTAAAGGAGTTGTGTGTTTCATTAGATAGAGGCTTAGAGAGTTGGAATATCTTTTCTTTCCATCATTCGCAATTATGAGTCCATTTTATGATGGGTAAATTATACCTCAATACAATTGTTTATAAAAAAATAGATGAAATTATTCTTAGGATGTAGTGAAAATGATAAAGGATAGTAATACCTATAATAACAGTAGCTAACATCTAGAGAGCCCTAATTATAAGCTAGGCACAATGATGAGTGCTTTTATTTACATATTTTATTGGTTCTTTCTAATAAATTTTTATGTATACATTATGATTATGCCCATTTTGCAGATAAAGTAACTAAGGATTGAGAAATTAATAAGTTCTGAGAAATTAATAGGCATGCCCAAATACTACTGGGGTATCATACTTTTTTTTCCTTTTTAGGTTTTTGCAACAGGTATGTGTGCTTGCTGGAGAGAAACAGAGAGACAGAGAGAGGGAAAGTGAGAAATCACCTGCCAGGGGGATGGCTGCACCATAATCCCATCTCTTTCAGTCTCCTCTTAGGATTTTGGGCACTCATGCACACACACCTGACATGATTTTTAAACCACCAGATCTGGGACTTGAACTGTGGTCAGCTATATGGGCCAGACATATAGCCCTTAACCACCGTGCCACCTGCTGGCCCCAGAGATATTATACTTTTACTAAAATGTATCATATCCTGTCAGCACCAGGATATGAATTGATGTCTGATTCTAGAATCTTCTTTGCTAGCTACTATCAAAAAGGGTGCCAATTACTTCAAACCTCGAAAAAGGAAGGGATCTTTTAGTTTAAAACTAAAATCCCAACCAATGGAACACAAAGGCCATTTTGTCCCTTTAGAATTTTATGGCCTAAAATACCCAGAATACAGGCATTGTACTTTCTTTGGCTTTACTGGTTTAGGTAACTGACCTAATTCTATACTTTGCTATTAGCCTCAATTTCTGAGTAAGTCATTCTTTGAGTGTTAACTAGTTATTATTTACCCCTTATAGACAACTAAGAAAATTCCTTAATTTTGCCTTAAAAAGAAGAAGCCTATGGTATTGATTTTCTTTCTTTTTTAAGATTCTACATATGACAGACACAGCGGCAGGCCTCTGGTCAGCCAGGGATCCTGAGGCAGGGACATCCCTGCTCCCTCACCTCACCTGCAGAACCCCAGCCCAAGCGCCCACCCCCTAGGTAGGTCTGTCCCCAGCCGCAGCCCACAGTCTTTCAGCTTTATTCTCTTGTTAATTTCCTGGTCTTCCTCATCCCACAGTCTGTCCTGTCCCCAGCAGGAGGCCACAGACACAGCAGCATTAGTGAAGCATGCGACTTTTTTTTTTATTTCTCTGTTTTTTTTTTTCTTGTGTCATTTCACCTAATACCCTCTCCTCTTCATCTTCCACCCTACCAAAAGGACTAGACAGGTCTATAATTCAATATATGAAATCCCCTAGTAATATAACTTTCTCTGGGATCTTCCCTTGTACTGACCCTCCTGAGAAAAAGGATATACTGCTTCTCAGACACCTCAGTAGAGTACTGTTCTTGATACCACATTGATAAAAACAACACAAGAGACACTTTGGCAAACATTAATTTGCAGCAAAAGGGAAAGTCACTTACTTCTAGTTGGAGTAACCTTCCCGTAAGAGGTATTCAAAGTGAATACATCTTCCAATGGCTAGAAGAAGAGCCTCAGGTATGAATAAACAAGGAAATATATCTCCATCAAAAGTACAGAGTAACTCCCCTCCATCTTTCATGCTAATAGACGATGTTACAAAAATGTCAGACAAAGAATTTCGAACATTTATGGTGAACAAATTCTTTGAGTTGGAACAGAAAAGAGACAACGAACTACAGGAGATGAGGAAGTCATTCCAAGATATGAAAGAAGAAATGGACACTCTGAGAAAGAACCAGATGGAGCTATTAGAGATAAAGTCTGGAATAGAGGAAATCAAAAACTCCCTTGAAAGTTTTAAAAGTAGATTAGACCATGCTGAAGATCGAATCTCTGATGTAGAAGATAAAACCTCTGACCTAGAAAGAACCACCAAAAAGATAGAGAAAATAACAAAAAAACATGAGGATAATATATGAGAAATACTAGATTCCATAAGATGTCCAAATATCAGAATAACTGGCATCCCAGAAGGTGAAGAAACTAATAATGGCATGGAAAATCTA